GATAAATTTTATGCACTTGGCTCTGGCTAGGTAATTCCACATTACATTTTTACTTTAATTATGACTCCTCCTATTTCGAGAAATCAAGCGTGATGTGACGTGACAAATATCTTTTCTTGAATTATGACAACACGAATGGATTGAAATATCTAATTAAATTATCTCAAAATGAACCTTTATTTTGGTGCAATATTGAAATTAGCTTGAATTCTTCATAACCTCTGAATAGTGGGTGACCCAACGGGTCACGGTGGTCTAGTAAACAATAATCCTATCATGTTGAATTGCAATATCGTTGTCTGGTAGCATTTGAGACTGTTCAAGCCAGACGAAAGAGAGCATAGATTGTTAAATTGTATATTGGTCGGTAGTTGATTAGAGATTGCAAATGGTGTGTTACTAAGCGAAATTCTGATAAGTTATAAAGTTTGTTCTTTTTCTCTCTCTATTTCTTTAGTAACTTATTGTGTCAAAGTTATTGTAAGTTAAAATGTTTGGAGCTCAGATGTCTTGTTTTGAGTAAAAATCCGGGCCTGCCATTTTCGAATTGTTAGTTTTTACGTATTATATTTATTTCCTCCTTTATTCATATAAGATAGAAACAGACCATCTAATATTTTTTTTTAATAATCAAATATTAACAACTGTGATAAATTGCGCTTGATGATGTGGCACTCTTACAGCAGGATGAAAGAAACAGATACCGAAATCATTTAAAAGCAGGGCTCGAGTTGAGGGAGGATGAATCAGAGAGCTGTTCCTGTTGTTAGAAATTTTTATGAAAACTTTCCTGTTGTAGAATGTCCAAGGGCATACGTAAAGTTAAAGATAAGTTATCATAAACTTTCCAATTCATATCGTTTATGCAGGCCTACTTTACGCAGTGTCATTCTTCTCCATTTGAGTTACTTTTCTGTGTTAACATTGTGATGTCATCATATAAGCCCCAGGAACCCCCGCCTCATAAGGGATGTGAAACTGAGTTCCATTGGCTAACTTTACAAAAATCAAGCCCTGTTTAAAAGTCTTGGAGTCCAATTACTTCCCTTTTTCAAAGTCCAATCCACGAAGAAAAAAACTCCAAAAACACTCAGTACAAAAGAATAAAAATAATAACACAATAAACATAAATAGAATTCTCCTTAGTTTGCTCAATGAGACCAAGTACGCTCAGCTTACTGGCCTTCCATACAGACTTCCCTTCTTTTATAAAAAGCAGGTGTGGCATGCTCCACCATAACCAAACAAGCCACATCTGTCCCTGTTAACAGAACAATTACAAAAAAATAAAAATAAATAAATAAAATACAATAACGACAAACACGAACTCAAAGCAAATAAACACATAGATGGTGGACACATGGTCAAGCTGTGCACTCAGAGAATTTGACAATATGTTTGTCATGTCAATTTAATAGGCCTAATTACGTACTTTAAATGTACATATTGTCGACGAAAATTTTAACACAATGTAGACACTATAAATTTGAACTTACGTCGAAATGGGGCTATAGCTACCGTGAATTTTTTGTAATCTATCTACGTTTTAGTAATTGACTGTAAGAAATTTGACACGAATCTGCATACAAGCACGAGTTATTACGGTCAAAAAACGAACCTATTTTGACAGTCATGATAAGTGTTTCCCAGCCTATATGGTACCGCCCTCTAGTGGGCGTTTTAAAAATTCATAGGGGTAGTAAACTTTGAGAGGGCGGACAGAAAAGTTTTGAGGGTTTCAAAGTTATATGTGTTAAAATTAAAACAAAAATATAATACAATTGCCTTATAATTTTCATTTTAGTAAAATATTTTAATGGTCTAAACATTTATAAGAAGGGGACATGAGCGCTCATTGTTTGCTGAAGGAGGCGCTACGGCGAAGGAAACACTGGTCTAGAATATAACGCCTTTGTAGGTTATCGAATAGAGGGCACTTTGAGTAAAAATACGAAAAATGCGCAAGTGCGCACACGCACATACACACATATATATTTGATATCGTTTATTAAACATAAATAAATATAGGAAAATTGACTGTAAGACTTTAAATAAGTTGGACACATTTTTGATTTAAAAATTATATACTTATAGCATTTGTATTATCATTGAAGACCATCAGGAAGGCTTTTACTATCCAGCATCTTGCCTTAATTAAATATTATATTTTGACGACGCTGTCCATAGCCTATCTCACCGACCTGAAGAAGGAACATTAAGTTCCCGTCGTCGAAACATAATATTCAAAGCAAGATGTCCAAGAGCTAAAACTTCTTGCTTATGCCCTGTTATCAATCATGCCTTTCAAACAGTATTTATGTCCATATTGTAGAGAAATTCAAATTTTCTCGTAATTTTATATAGTATAGTATAATGCAATGTTTCCAACATTTTTATGACACGTAAACCCAGACAGACCTTTGATTTAGTAGTTCATCCTTGACGCATATAATTTGTTAAAAAATTTAAGAGTGGTTTACATTAATTGTTTGTTTTTCTTTTGAATTTCGCGAGAGCTATCTGCGCTAGCCGTCCCTAATTTAGCAGTATAAGACTAGAGGGAAGGCAGCTAGTCATCACCACCCACCGCCAACTCTTGGGCTACTCTTTTACCAACGAATAGTGGGATTGACCGTCACATTATAACGGCCCCACGGTTGAAAGGGTGAGCATGTTTGGTGGGACAGGGATTCGAACCCGTGACCCTCAGATTGCGAGTCGAGCGCCCTAACCACCTAACAACCCGCTACCTTCAGAGTATTTACATTAATAAAACAGTAAATAAAAAAATAATTCAAGGGTGACTTAAGAATACGCGAACTTCGGGTACTGGTTAGTGAAATATTCACCAAAATTGCCTTCTAATTTTGAGGTGTTGGATTTACTTTCTTTTTTAATGTTTTTGAAAGGTTCTCGCTTACACCCCAGAAAGGTTTCTACGTACCCTCAGAAAGACGCGTACCACGGGTTTGGATCTATAGGAATAATGAATGCAACTCTCAAAATGTTTGTTTAATGTGTTTTGCAAATAAATGTGATCGAAAACTGTTTATAAATTCGTGATTTCATGTTCTAACTGATGTTAAAAAAAATGAACAGAGCAGTTATTATTGCAAATAATATACTGATGTTTTGCCAGAGTCTTAATCTTAATTTTAAATAATTTCTAAGAACCCACATCAGGCCGGCTGTTGTATGACATAGGCAACGGCCTAAGTGATGAGTGCAAACATTACTGTTCTGAGATAATGCGCGCATGCTGAATATCTGCGTAATTAAATCTATTTTCACTGTTTTAGTTTTTTAAAGATGTAACCTATTTAAAATTGTACACTGAGAAAATCTAGAAATTATAGGCTTCATACTTGTCTTTCATTTGAATGGATAATTGCCGAACGGTAATAAAGATGGCAGCGTCCTGTGGGGGAGCTCTTTCGGAAAAAAAAGATTTTTGAATTGGTTAGATATGAAGAATAGTATTAATATTGTGCGTGATTTCTATGCCCGGCATGGCCAGGTGGATAAGGCGCTCGACTCACAATCTGAGGGTCGCGGGTTCGAATCCGCATCCCACCAAACATGCTCGCCCTTTCAGCCGTGGGGGCGTTATAATGTGACGTTGGTAACTATTCGTTGGTAAAAGAGTAGCCCAAGAGTTGGCGGTGGGTGGTGATGACTAGCTGCCTTCCCTCTAGTCTTACACTGCTAAATTAGGGACGGCTAGCGCAGATAGCCCTCGTGTAGCTTTGCGCGAAATTCCAAAACAAGCAAACAAGCAAGTGATTTCTATAAAACTCACTTCGTTCATTGCGCTTCGCATGACTTCACTCATTCGTTATAACCCAAAATAATAACTGTTAGTGAGTGCATTATCTG